AAAAACTTTATTAATTTTGATTGTTTATAGAATATATAACTTTATCTTTATTATAGAATATTTTTAAAATATATAAGTTTTCACATGCAACAATTGTTTATTAAGAAAATTTATTAAGCAATTTAATAAGGATTAATGTTATTATCAGAAAGAGCAAATGTTTCTTAATATCTTCAATTACTTAACCTAATGGTCAAGACAACTTTAAGAAGATATTAAGATTGAGGTTCGACCCTAGCCTTCTTTCCTCCCTCTTATTGTAGGGCTCTATCTCCCTTGAATGACCACAAAAAAAAATGTTTCCCAATGAAGGCTCTAATATATCTATATAATGACATCAAAAACAGGGTAAACTCATCAAAATTATTGATGAAAATGACATTACCATATTATTAAACAAAACAAGATTTACCCACAGTCAATTATACAACAAAACAGTATGGGGATATATATATATTAGGCAACTGCAACTTGTAAAATTTTTTTACTTCATGTTTTTGGAATATAAAAATAAGGCAAGTTAGCTATACAGGATAGTTCATATGATAAATTGGTCAGATGTCCAAGAGGCATAATTGGTTTACAAATTCAATTTTATGAAGTCCTCAAAGTCCTTCATGTTTGACACCTTTTGAACTCCTCAATGTCTTCCTTATTCAAAAGGATATGATACTTTAATTATTAAAATTAATATAAAAAAGCTTATAAACACATAATGTATTCGTATTAGATATATACCCGTGTCTGATATTATATCTCGAGTCTATGTAACATACCTCAAAATGATAATTGAGAGTGCGATAAATATTTCGTCGTCATCAAAAGAAATGTATTGTATTAAGTTTCTTTTTTCAGTTTTTTTCCACCATCAAAATTGGTTATAGAAGGATCTCAGAAAGAAAACATTGTGTGTAGGGCAACAATGATCAGGACAAGTGCTGGTGAGATCTTTCTTATTATCCGAACAAGTCTCATCTGAAAGTCAGATTTTGAAAACAAAGGCTGATCATATCTGTATTTGATTTATCAGCTTCCTAAATCAGTTGGCCTTTTCCAAGATCATGAAGAAATATGACAAGGTCTGTCATTTTCATTTTCTGCGTCATAATCAATTAAAACCAGAATGTTCTTGGTTCATTTGTACTAATTTATAATAGTGCAGATCACATCACGAAATGCATCAAAAGCTTACTTACAGATGGTGGACAAATCTTATCTTGGCAGGTTTGATGAGGTTAGAAATAGCTAACAGAACTCTGTTTATGTCAGTTGAATGAATTCCCCCCCTCCCTTTTTTTTTTGTTCAAAGAGGCCACAGCATGAGGATGTGGAAAAGGGCTGCAGGTGCTGGAATTTGAACCCCAGACCGCGACTGCATGAACCACTGAGCTAAGTTCCGGGTTCTAAATGAATTTCACTTTGTCACTAACTTTGTTCTTACCCCCTTTTTTCTTGACAGGTTACTAAGCTCATGGAAAGGGTAGAATATCTATGTTAAACACTTTGCAAATGGAAATCACAGAAAAGGAATGAAAACTCTAAGACCACAAGCTAAAAAAGAAAGACATAGAATTACATTTTTCTTTGGTAAAGACTTTGTGTAATCATAAAAGCATAATTACTTTTAGAGCTCTTCAATCTCCATAGTCCATCCCAATTCCTTGTTTTTAACAGACAATTTCTCTTCACTTGCAGGCTTCTTTTCCGGTTGCTCAATTGCACTTATAGTGGCGATTATTGTGAATATACGTACAAGAGATCTCCTTGACAGTAAGGGACGTGATCATTACATGATCACCATATTTCCACTTTGCAGGTAAAGTCAACCAAATGTAAATTTCCTTCAACATTCTTGATTCTTAGTAATTTTTTGTTGAGGCAGTCATTTTGCAAATCCAAATCCAATGATTATTTTAATGATTCTGCTGCATCATTTTGCAGCTTGTTTGGTTACATTTTTCTTCACATGATCATGTATTCCGGAATATATTCTTTTGGAAGCGATATTGAGTCAACTTTTCATTTATATTTGGTTTCAAGCAAGGAACAGAGCTGGTATTTAGAGAAGTACTTCTTCTTAGTTCTGGTCTTTCTCTGCTTGCATTAGCTGGTGTTTTTCAGATTTGGATATGGAGATTGACCCAAGAACAAAAGGCTTCAAAACTGAACTAATCCCCTTGTTCCTGCTCATTGTAAGTCTTATATAGAACACATTTCTCTACTACAATTTTCTCATTGAAATGCTATTTCAAGATGAACTTCTGAATGAAAAACATTTGCCTGTCATGCTCACTGGTGTACCTGTATTGCAGGCTGTGCTTTCAATAACATTCTGCCCTTTCAATATCATATGTCGTTCAAGTCGATTCTTTCTTATCAGAAGTGCATGTCACTGTATTTATGCACCTCTTTACAAGGTAGCAAACTAAAAAAAAAATTGTAAATTTATATTCACTGATATATAGGGAAAGTCATGTAATAAGAGTGATATTCATCTTCATTTATCATCATGTAGGTCACCCTCCCCGATTTCTTCTTGGCAGATCAACTTACCAGCCAGGTTCGACATTCAGGCCAACAATCTATAAATAGTATTGTAACTTCAACCTGGTTTGTTTTCTGATCAATACTCATTGACGTTTCATACCAGGTTCAAGCATTTAGAAGTTTGGAGTTCTCCATTTGCTACTATGGTTGGGGAAACTTTAGGGAGAGATTGAACAAGTGTGAGAAGAGTGAAATTTATAAAGTGGTTTACCAAGTTGTAGCCATTATTCCTTATTGGCGCATTTTTGTTCAGGTAATTACTGACAATGCACATATCTATCGGCATAAATAAATCAAAACATAACATGATTTGTTCATTAATTAATGAATCCCAAAACATTGTTCATGATTATTTGTTAAATTTAATAAACGAATATAAAAAAACAAAAACTAAACATTTTCACAAATTGTTTGTCAAACATTCTGTTCGTTACAATACATCTTATGCAGCAATGAAACTGTATTTTCATCAATTAATTATTTCCAGTTGCATGTCAAATTGCCATTTCATTTCAGGATTTTCTTTAATGCTTTGTTTCATCTTTATTATATAGTGCCTTAGACGCTTGTTTTAAGCAAAAGATGTAGCACATGCTCTTAATGGTCTGAAATACTTCTCAACAATTGCTGCGGTTGCCATTAGGACCACTTATGAATTCCAAGTGCAGAAAACTACTGCTTGGCTGGTCTTGGCCGCAGTAACGAACAATGATTAATATATATTGGGACATTGTTGTAGATTGGGGACTTCTTAGAAGAAATTCAAGAAACCCTTGGCTGAGAGATAAGCTAATTCTACCCCACAAGGGAATTTATTTTGTAGCCATGGTAAGAAGTCTCATGCCATTAATTTCTCCTGTTATCCATACCTTTCATTTTCCATTTTGGTTGGTGATGGGCTGTGGAAGATGCAAATGCATCCGCTACTGGTGATGGAACTTGTAGGGGTGTCAACAGTTTGAAACAACTGACCTTCTTTGATTGGTGTAAAATTGCAGGTGTTGAACTGTCTATTAAGACTTGCTTGGATGCAGTATTCAAACTGTATTTTTCCTGCTTAAGACAGCCTTGATTGCTGTAGTTGCTAGCTTGGAGTCGCCGTGGCATTTGGAATTTCTTCAGGTATTTTTGAACTCTTGTAGTTAGTTCTCAGTTCTCTCTTACTATATTCTATGGTAAAAGAAAAAATCGGAAAATTAGGTAATAATATGAGTTAAAGAGTCCATGTGCTCCTTGAAACCATATCAATGAATATTTGTTTTTTAGTACAAAAAAAGTTACAAACTTAGGATAGGGGAAGGGATTACAAGTACTATGATTGACCTGCTGTATGTCACCTATTAATAGTGATTGCATGAATCAACTGACTTAAGTTTCAGATTCTGTTTTTTGTATCTTTCTTAACATTGAAGTCAACATTGGGCAAAAAAAAAATTTTTTTTCATTTATGGGGCCATGAAAGGGCTAAGGACTTGAGGTAGGAGAGCTAGATTATCAAAAAATCAAGTGTTCGTTGCAGTATTACAGATTCTTGTTATCTGGTGGGAATCTATGTTCTGAGGTTTAACCTTTACCTAGAATCAAGGTAAAAGAAGTTCCCCAACAAGCCAAATAAAACATTGTTTCCAGAGTTATTTTACTTGAGAGTTACAGTTTCATGTTTATTTAGATTGCTATGCCTAACATTGCTCAACATCAAAATTTTTTCCTCTCTGCCTTGATGCAATCATGTGCATGAGTTCGTTTCACATTTCATCGGCTTTCGGCTTTTGACTTTTCCTTTTAGGCCACAATGTGCATGAGTTAGTTTCACTTCACATTATATCAGCTTTTGTCTTCTGAGCATTGTTTAAGTGCTTCCGTTAAATTAAATCATATAATTATTTTTAAAAGATAACATTTAATCGATTTAAAATTCAAATCTCAACATTTATAATTCATTTTTTTATATCTAGATTGCAGCCTCTTTTCCAAAATAATAATAATAATAATTCAATAACATGATTTTCAATTGATCAGGTTGGAGAATGAGCATTTGAACAATGTGGGCAAGTACCGAGCATTCAAAACAGTACCCTTGCCTTTTTACTACGATTACTATGGAGACAGGAGTTTATAAACATTCATTGCACAGGACAAATTATAGAAGATTGGGTTTTTTTCCTACAAATTCAATGAAAATTTCATTCTAGATTACTTACTATCTTTTGTAATTCTTTATATTGTAAATGGGGGTAGCAAGAGCAAAATTATATTTGAATAGTGAGACAATATGCATTGGATAAAAACTACATACAGATAACCGACCATATATCATTCAAAGGATGGATAATCAAAACAATTCTCATTTCTTTTGAGAGCCAGGGCATGCTGAACACTCGAGAAACTAGAAAAAATGGAAGGGAAACTTCAGGGAACATAAATGGAAATATGGCTTATCATGGCAAAACCAGTTGAAGAAAATTCAAAACCCTGATGATAGTGATACCCTTCTTAATAGACAAGAAAATTACAAAAGAGGCAGTGCCAGTTCATAACATTCTGGATATTTTCGCGGTTTATGAAGAAAATGCGACCCTTCCAGGCTTATATACTGTGAAACTAATTGTAAACACAGCTTCAAGCACGTTATTCATTTTTCAGTTGTTCGAAGAAATAAATGAAAATAAAAGGTAAAGTAGCCAAGAAAAAGGAAAAACTAGCGTTGTTGCACCGATTGTGCATCCTCTTTATCAGCCTCCTCGCCCTTTTGCAGAGTAGCTGAAGAGTTTGAAGCAGAGTTTTCTGCTGTTATTCCACCGTTGTCATCATCCTGGTTCTTAAAGAGAGCTGAGAATGATAAGGGATTGTAGGTGGAGCTTGCTTTTTGCAGGCCACGTATCACTTTCATTGCAGCCAGAGTGCTTCGATATAAATCCAAGGTTTCCTCTCCCAGAGATGATGAAGCTTCCTGCGAATGATTAGCAGTGTTATTTGATGGTATCTCTGGTTTTCCTTGCGGGGTAGATTCAATGACTTCTGCTTCCAGTGGAAAGAGAAACTCAAGATTTGCCTCACACTCATGGACTAGCCTTGTAAGAGATTCTGTTGTGAAGAAAGGCTGGTGAAGGACAAGTTGTGTGAACTGTAGTCGCAACAGTCCCCCTGTTCGTTTATCAAATTTCTTTAAAATTTTAACGATCCCTGTAGAAGCAGAAATATGCAAATGGTTTAGAAACTGACAGATATATATAGTAGAAAGAAGTTTATGCAATAATTTCTGTACCAGCAAAATTTAGGGCACTGAAATTTTTGAGAAGCACCATCTCCCCATGAATAGTGACAAGATCCTTGCGGATATCCATCATTTCTTCACTAAATTCACTCTCTGATGGAAAAACTTCACCCTTGCCACTGCTGTCCTTAATTTGTTCAATTCTTTCCTTCAGCTCCTGTTATAAAGTTATAATTGCATCAAGAATTAGAAATACAACATTAATGACATGCAGAGATCCCTTCACTGACCAAGTCAATGCCTCCAATGGAGATTATTGCACTAGGAATCTTTAAAAAATACAGAATAGGATTTATGCAGATTCATTACTCTCAAGCACCAAAATCTAAAGTAAAAAGAACTCAATAAACTACTTAAGAAACATTCACATGAGATTAGTGTTCTTTTATATACTAGATCACAGACTTCAATCCTTTGTTTTGATGCAATAGATGCCAACTAGAACATTGAAGGAACAATCACATTATGATTAATAGAAAATTAAAATAGATTGAAAAGATTAACTGGCCATTTTTAATATGGGAATAAGAAGACCATGGTGAGAATGGGGATGAGGAGAGCGTATTGGGTTAAAATGGCTTCAATAGGCAAGTTGCATTACCTAAAATAACAAAAGATGAACTTTAGGTCAAGGCATATTAAGCACAATTGGCCAATTTAGATTCTTGAACACCTTGAGTAGATGTCAAAGGACTAGACCAACATAGCATCATTGCAAGAATGATGTCACCAAAGGAAACAGCTTATCTGAATGATAATGATGTGCCAATAATATTCATGCTCTCAACCACTGCCAAATAACTAGAAGGCATATAAGACATTTTGGAAAATTCACGTAAATAAACTTTAGCAGAGCTCCTTAGATATCTAGTCAATATCATAAAAAGGATCATCATGAGAGGTTTTCTCAACTTACCAAAACCTATGGAGGTCAGCTTAACGGGACACTAAAACTATGTCGGAACTCAGATGCAAGCAACATTATATGTTTATAATCTCCCTAAGATATCTAACTAAAACCATCCGATACTGATTTCTGATTGCTACATTTGCTTGACAATTTTAAAAGCTTGCATTAAGTTTCATCATCCATAAGCAATTCCCAAGACAATAACCTTTTGAAAAATTGCATGCACTATAGGAACTTTGAGCACAAAATTAAAAGGACAAGTATAAACACAGAGGAACCAGAGGAATTGAAAACATTGTCTTCGAAGTTATAACTCTCAAATCCCCACTATTTTACCTATATCAGCATATGAAAAAATCCAAAACTTTCTTTGGCTATGCAAACATCAAAAGATCCCGACACGTGAAATGCTTCATAAATGGGGAATGCAAATTCCCTCTAACTGCCCAAGATGCAACAGAGAACCCGAAACTCCTACCTACTGTCTTAGAGATTCTTAGCTGGTTAAAGACTGTTGGAATGCCATGGGAACATGACATGTTCGATTTAATGTGATGCTATGGGGATTGTTTTCCCTAGGACTGTTAGAGATAATCCTCTCATTGGGAGAGTCTAATTTATTGTTATGTTCCTTTTATCGCCAAAACAACAAAGAGTTTCTAAATTCTCATTGAACCTTCAAACTTTGCTTGCCACTACAACTGTTCCTTCCAATATTGTCAATAACCCAACAATCCATAAAGCAAAAACAAAAGCTTAACTCCTAAAATCTTACTTGATTTTATCTTCATGTCATCAAAAAATCAAAATTTAACTTCATTTTCATACCTATCCAAAAGAAAAAACCCAAGGAAAAAGACTGCACATTAAATGGAAAAATTAAGAAAAACCCAATAACCCATTTACTCATTTGTAACACAAAATCTTACAATTACCCAAAAAGGAAAAAGAAAATGAAGATAAAAGAGAGAGGGTTAAAAGGGTGAAGAACCTGAAAGCGAATAACGAACTCTTCTTCTTTATCAACATAAAAATCATTGAACTTCTCAAGCTCTTCATTCAGAATCCTAACGAACCAATCTTGCAAATCAACCGAAGGCTGTTGATGATCATGATCAACGGCCGTAACAGATGTGTTGGTGGTGTCAGCAAATACAGGCCGTTGATGATGGGGAAGATGAGGGTGAATGGATGGGATTGAAGGAATATTTTTGAGGAGTTTCTTGAGGGGTTTGTAACATAGGAATTTGTCCCTCCACTCCGGTAGAGTCTCCTCTAGATGGGTCTTGAACTCCTTACCAAATTTCATTAAAAACTGTTTTTTTTTTTTTTCTTGACAATTATGATGATGCTTTTTTCTGGATTTTTTTTTTCCTTTCAGATAGAGTAACGGAGAAAATAAAAGAGGGAGGAGAATCTTAAGGATAAGGAGGAATTTGGAATCTAATGAAAAATGGATAAAGATGATAAAACAATAAAAAAAAAAAAAAGGAAGGCGAATTATGTAATCAGTTGGAATTTTGTTTTGTATAATAATTTGAATAAATTTAATTTTTATACTTATGGGGTGTAAAATATCAATTTAGATATAATAAAATTAAAGTATTATCGTCAAATTGTTAATATGATAATTTTTTTTATTATGTGAATGGAATATGTAATGTCACATGCAATGTCAGCTAAACATTACATGTAATTTTTTAAATCTTTTTTTAATTATTTTTTTCAACTTAGAGACTTTAACTTCGTGTTCATTTTCTTTAAAAAACTTAAGCTCGTTTGATTTGGAAAAATATTTTTTTATTTTTTAAAACATGTATTTGATAAACAAAAATAAAATTTATTTTTTAAAAATTTAAAAATAAGAAAATAAATAAAATATTTAATAATATAATTATTAATATCATTTAATTATAAATATAATATATTTTAATTAATTAATGATATTAAAAAGTATTTAAATATGATAACTTGTAAAACCTAAGAAAAAAAGTAATGTACGTTTTCACAATTGAAAATATTTTTTTTATTTTCATATTTTAACCCGTTTTTATTTTTATTTTTTAAAAAAAAATTTTTTTTTAATTACTAAACACGTTTTCATTCATGTTTTTCATTTTTCAAAAAAATGATTATAATTTTTAAAAGCAAACACTATCTTAAATTCTACTATATCTTTAGTAAAATATAATTGAATTTACCACCCTCAAATTAAACTCAAATATCAACTTTAATAAAATCTATCAATATAAATCTCTTTATAAAAATTTTGTTTAATCATAATTACAATAATTTTTTTAATAACTATAATAATTTTTAGTACTATTTTTAATATCATCAAATTCAATATCATCGTTCATTCCAAATAAACTTTAAATCTCTCCAAAACCTCACAACTAATGGTTGACGGAATTCATTCATGTTGGGTTAGTGATTGAAAGAATTCATCAGCATCACCGTTTTCCTGCTCACTTTCTTGAGCAGGCTTCTGGTTCAATCCTGTCCGTTGATAAAAACACTTTGTCTTTGGTTGCTCAAGTTCTCATTCATAAAATTGGAAATCAAGCATTACATATTATTCATGGCATCATTACTTCATTCATGCAATGATACGCCAAAACAAAACACAACAGAAAACTTTGGAGATCAATGCCAATTGAAACACCAAAATAACTAGGTTGCTGATTAAAACCTAAACCAATAGGGTTGCAACAAAGGGGAAAATGAGAAGAACAGGTAATATTCGCGCCATTATATGGTCTCCAGGGCCTGCAGTATATCCGCCTTCAAATCTTCAAAGTCTTCAACTCCGAAGCCGAATCGAACCAAGTTATCCTCAATCCCATACTTACGCCTCTCAGCTTGGCTAAGATCCCTGTTTCATATTGCACAAAAAGATTAACGGAGTTTCACAACCACCCGCAGACAATGACAAATTTCATTAGATATATAGGTTCATCATGTTCCCATTGCTTTATATAATTATATGCATATGTTCTCATTTGTTTCCTCAATCTCGGTTCATCAACAGTTGAGGTGTTGCTAGATGAATAAACACAAGCAGTCAGAACACTCAATAAACAGAAATAATACCATACCAATAGGACATTATAGCTGGCTGAACCACAATGCTCTCACAGCCACCAAAGGATGGAGCAATGTATGGTATCTTCAATGCATCAACAAATTTGATGGTGGTCATCATATCTCCATCCACCTGAACAATTTAGATAATGAGAACTTTGAAATTGCACGAGTAACACCAAAAGAAAGCAGCAGAGTAAAGATAAATTCCTAGTTATGAGGTTTAAGTAGTTAAGAATACCAACCTCAAAACTGACCACACCACCAAAGCCTGTCATTTGCTGCTTGGCAATTTCATGTTCAGGATGACTTGGCAAGCCTGGATAATATACACGTCTCACCTGCCATTGATATTTAATAAGCCAAGGGATCAAGAAAATGAGTACAAATTAGAAAAGTAAGAAATGATCAATCAAATAAATTTCTGAGTAGTTTCAAAATACAATGACATCATCAAAAGCTAGATGACGGTCATTCAACCAGAAATGCCATGCAAATACAACATATGATTACCAACCATTGAGGAAATATCGCATCACATCTATTGAAAGTAAATCAAATCCTCTCCAGGAAGTTCAAACATGCATAGAGATGACATAAAATGTTGGAAGCAACCAAACAAAGGAAGGACTTGGTCCATGAGACACTAGAATCCAACAGCAACCAACTTAGTTCACATGCACATTGTGTCCTTCACTTTCTTTTAAAATTGCCTTCAATCATTCCCATTCTTTATTTTTCTTTTGCCCTTTTCCGGTTCTTAAACTGAGTTGCATTTAAATGGAATATAGATAGACAAGAATGAAAGAAAGGAATGTCACTGCAATTCATTCCTTAGGATGTGCCTCTAAAACTTTGGCCATCCCTAATGCTGTTGAATTCTGTTGCTGTACACGAAGATGCAGTGTCTTCATGCCTCTGATGATCAGATACGCGGCATTCTGTTTAAATATGGAAACAAACATATTATTTTGTCAACCATGCAATTTACAATAGAGAAAAATTAGGGCACAAGTCTTCAAAGACTAAGGTGAAAGTCATTAAAGCATCATTCACAACATATTCTTCTTAGACCAGAAGTCCAGCCAACCACTTTAACAATCTAGTCCTCTTAACCGAGTACAGTTACCAAATAAATCTCCTTAAGACAGACAATAAGCATATATGGTTTGAACCAAAACATTAAAGATATCATGAAACTACGTAATCAAGATTAAGGACAACTCACCGGGTTGAGAGTACCTCCCAAAATATGATGCAAAGTACGAATTTCAGTAACCAACTTCTTAGAACCACTTATGCAACCAGCAAGAACCTTTGACATGAAGAATTAAACTCCTTAATTGCTTGAATTAATGATAATTGACAGCATGGACAGAGAACTCGTTTCAAACTCACTAAATTGACAAGAGCAAGTGCTTACATCATTGTGGCCCCCAATGAATTTTGTTGCAGAGTGCAAAACAAGATCAGCACCAAGAGCCAGGGCCTTCTGGTTAAGAGGTGTAGCGAAGGTACCATCAATGCAGACAAGTGCTCCTTTGTTGTGGCACAGCTTTGTAACTTTTTCTATGTCAACACATCTTAGGAATGGATATGTTGGAGACTCAGTATAGAAAAGAGAAACCTGCAAGAAATCATAATTGACTCTCAAACTCAGGATGAACGGTCATTTCCAAAGTGAACATAAGTCTAGCGGGAAAAGGTAACAATTTCTATGCTACTGACTTTATTCTTGTTGAGTGCAGCCTCTAAGCCATCCACATCTGCGGGGTCAATAACAGTAGCCTGCAAATTGGATGATAACCAGAACATGGTTAGAAATTAACCAAAATTCAAAATAATATTCCATAGAAATATAAACATTTAAGCAAGTCACGCATTAAAATTGCTACAAACAGCATTAGATTCATATTGCAATTGAACTTCTCATATATAACAAAAGAAAACAACAAATAAATGGGGAACGGTGTAAACTTTTAATTTAAAAACTACATTTTTCTAGGTGCATCAGTATTTTGGTTAGATGCTTTTTCAAGATTATTCCTCAGCCAAGATTCTTAAAAAAGCAATACAATGAAACAAGAAAGTAGCAAGAACATTTTAAGCCATACCAAGATTCCCATTTTAGGTAGAATGGTCTCAATGAATATCCTAGTTTTTTGATAGCAATCTGTTGTTGTCACAATATGTCCACCAGCAGGAACCAATGCCATCAGCATGACTGTGCTAGCACACATTCCTGATGCCATAATCAAGGTCGATTCAGCCCCCTCAAGTGCACTGAAACAAAGAAAGATCACCTCATGAAGTTTCAAAGGCATAAATTGCAGAGACAAAAAAATATGTCACTTTAGCTAACAAAAAGTCGAAAAGGACAACAAGAAAATAACAAAGAGAAAGAGGCAGCCAAACCTTATCTTCTCCTCTGCAACCACTGTAGTTGGATTTCCATAGCGCCCATATTCAAAACTTTTATGGCGTTTCTCCTGCAACAAGATCACACAAAAATGTTAATGCGATTCAAATTCTGGGTCAACCAGCAAATGCTTTTAAGAACTCATCCTTTCATTACTCAATCACACCTTAAAAGAATAAGCAAAAGACATCATTTGCATTGTAGTTGGCATATGGTAGTTGACCGTGACAATGGCTTAACATATGCAAACTAATAGATCAATGTGTCAAGTTGTGTGGAGCGCAATTACTACCCCTATCACTACGCTGAGTAAATATAATTTTATATGTAAGAGTAAATCACTATAAATCTAGTGTGTTCCAATTTTTCTTTGCATTTGTTAATTATGCTTTCTGAAAATAGGGCTTTAATCCTAATACAATTCAAACATTAACTAATGCGACAACTGATTATATACCTTGAAGTCAATAAGCTCCTGAGATTTCTTAAAGAAGTAAGCAGAAGTATTAACCACTGGAGTAGTAATTGCATCAGTAACGATACCGCGACCTAACCTTTCACCTGCAAAAAAATTTTAAAAAAAAAAAAAAAACCCTTAGTTTTTAATTATTAAAAAAATAAGAAAAGGCTTTAATTACTTATTTTCCACGTAAAAGTAAGGATTTAATGAGAGAAAAAAAAGAAGTGATTTAAGGAAACTATAAATAAAACATAAAGAAAACTTTTTAAATAAAAATCACAACTTTTAAAAAGAAAACATAGAGAACTAATAAATAGATATATTTCAATGAATTTAAAGATTAAAAATGATTTTTTAAATAGAAATGATTAATTTATTTACCAGCATGAACAGTGATGCTCGCATCGGAGCTCAAAAACGATGTCTTGGAATTATCTGAACCCCCAATCTGTACACTACCGTTGTCAATACAACCTTCTACAACCGCCACCTCATCAGCGACGGAGACAGCGGCGGCGG